GTATATTACAGTAAACATTGAATAGTTCATTAGAAAGGTCTACAAATATCCTGATTACCCAGAGTTTGCAAACAAATACAGTGAACGGATTATCTACAAGCGTCTGTTAATATCGTAAATCCTCAAATAAGCGCCGCTCTCGAATAATTAAGCGCCGCAAAAAAAAACCAAAAAAAAAACAAAAAAAAACAACCTTTTTATCGCTAAGGACCACTCTTTATAAGCGCCGCGGTGCTTATTCGAGTATACACATCGCCCTGTGTGTATTGAAACACTTTGAGAAACAAGGTTTTAAATACAATGTATACAATGAAGACAAAAACATATCTTTATAAATGTTTATTTACGATAATGTAAGGCCTATGATATGGCTATCGAACTACGGGAATACATGAAATAGGTAACACGGGAGAGAGCATGAAAAACGTCACGCCAATATTTTTTAGTAAGCGCTGTTCACGAATAAGCTCCGCTCTCGAATAAGCGCCGCACTGAAGCCTCCAAATATTTTAGAAGCGCCGATTAAATAACTCAAAATTGTATATTCAAAGCAAGCAAAGCAAGCAATTTAATTATAAAATATTAATAGCTCAACAGACTTATCTTGAGCTAAATCCCCAAAGTATTATGAAGTAAAGAAAAATAGCAGTAAAATCATAAAATGAGAAAGGATAGACCTACATACCACTGGTCCAGGAGGTCCTTGTAATCCTGGTTCACCGCTGGGTCCCTCGCTTCCAGTGTCACCGGGCGGTCCTGGGTGTCCCGGGCGACCCTGTGTTAGCAATGTAATTGAACATTTTTGTAGATGTTTAAAATGATTGCTTTTACTCACTTTTCATTATTCAATATTATGAGAAACCCTTTTTCGTTAAAAGAAACCCTTTTATCACCATGAGCAATGCTTTATAAAAGTACTACAAACTTCACTGTCTTCATCAATGTCACACTATTTATGTTACATCACACGCCTACATCTACATCTAGGCTTATAACCAGTCCTTTCTTCTTAAATCTTTTCAAAATACTGTACCTTCCTTGCTAATGGGATGGTATTTTGAGTTTCACAATTTGTAGAGAGTAAACATAGGCCTAATATTATATTCTATTATCTGTCCCATATTTGTGATCTTTTATGAATTAATTGAAATTCAATAAAAGCCTTCGAACCAATTATTTACGTAGGTTCAACAGTAAATTATCACGTGACTTACTCGAATATCACTCCGTCCAGGAAAACCCCGTTGTCCTTGCATTCCTTTATTTCCCTGAAAATGATAGAAAACTATAATTGTACACTGGTCAATTCACGAGACAAAGAAGAACATCTGCTTGCAAAACGCTAAGATTTAATAGTATAGACTTATGGATTAGTAAACCACTTCGGAGTAATCAAATTTAACAACTGACCAATCAGAACGTGTTATTTAATAGCTAGGAATACACATATGCATTACTTACAATTTTATGCAACTCTAACTGCCAACAGTTGTTTTTTATATAACAAATATGTTATAAATACCATATAGTAGTACTTACTATGTAACCAGGTAAGCCAGTTTTTCCCGTTGGACCAGGTGGGCCTGGGGGACCCTATATCACCAAAAAAGAGACATTACAGTAAAATATAAAAAATACAAAGTGAGAGATAGTAGAATTTTCAGAAACTAACTGTTACTTTCCAAGTCTGAAATATCATCATGTTTGCGTAGTACTACATTAATGCAATAATCACAATAACAAACATACCTAACGTAATCTTTAGAATATAATGTATTTATTAAAAACTAAAAGTCGAAGCAGGGAACAGTGTTCCCTGGTCAAAGCCAATGACCCTCACCAATACATTAACATTACATTGTCGTCCTAGAAATTCATATTAATTTTGTTGACGTGTACATATGGTTCACTGATACTCACCACACTTTCTCCCCTACAAACCATGTTTTGTTGTGACAAACTATTTTTGTCAGTTATCATCAAAAATGTCTTGTGAATACAAACCAGATTTTGTAAAGGATAAACCATGATTCCATTGGCTGGTCTAGCCAATCTAATCTTTTGATTGGTTGTTGAAGAATTCAAATATGTTCTGTTAAAGATTAACCATATTTTGCTAATTAGCGCCACTCAACAATTCAAAATTGTAGCTTGTGGTTTGTTCAGTGGTGGAAGTTATCAGCCATGATAAATGTAAAATTTCTTACCTGTCCGCCTTCCAACCCCACAGGTCCAGGGGCCCCGGTAATACCTCTTAAACCCTAAAAGTATTTTTAAAAAATCATTTAATAATAACAGAATCATGGATATAAGTCCAAAAGTCATTTTGATTTGAATATTCATTGAGTAGTCATAATGCTAAGTTCACCTTTCACCAATTGGATCATCTCAACTGATCTTGAGAGCCTCGCTTACATTCGTTACTTAAATCAAGAACGTTTGCGCAATGCTTTCCCAATGCGAACTGGGTCGAAAAGGAATCATGCAAAGATAAATGCAAGGATGCGGGAGACCTACGATCATATATAATATTTTCTATTAGGCTTGGGCCTAGATTTCGAACCTTATAATTTTCTGGACTAGTCCTATATATTGCCTCACAAATTGTAGCGATGTAATCAATCAAATCGGAGGAACTATCGGGAAGACAAATTTTACTTGTATCTTGTATCGTGTATTACCGATGACCCACTGTGTGATATATATAACATTTTGACTTTTGCATGACCAAACAGAAGGGTAACTTTCTCAGGTCAAGATGACCTGTATGATTTTCGAAATGTATGGCGCCATGCGCCATAGTACACCTCTTGCCCTGGCCCTTCAAATTTACTTAATGAACAATTTTGGCCCCTATTGCGATATAGTTGAGAACCCCTGCGCTAAATCATTTAATTGTCTGTTCATAAGCCCAAAACATACAGTGTAAGAAAAACGGATAGGAAGAAATTAAAATATACTTACTCTTGGCCCGGGGTCTCCTGTGGGTCCAGGATTGCCGCTTCTACCATGACCTCCTTCTGGTCCTGTCATCCCTTGTAAACCAGGTGGACCCTTTAGTCCTGGTAAACCCTATTCAATACAATAAAAGATACTGTGAAATTTTAATTAAATTACTGTGGGCTACACTCAATACTAGATCACCGAATTGTATTTACTATACTGTTTCCATTTTTAATATATTAATAATGTGACATTTCAGTTTTGAATAGATTAATAGAAAGAGACCTACCACAGGACCAACTGATCCTTCCCCACCAGGAACACCGGTTTCACCCTGGAACCAAATCCATAAAATATTTTCACGTTAACGTAATTGTTAATTTAATCAAGCATGTGTATTAACTGGGATTATAATACAGTGGATGAAATCCTACAAGAACATATTTATTAGCCGTAAATCATGGTGCAACTCAAATTCTTCTAGCTTAATTCTTGAAAAAGCAGAGAAATCATACTGGAAGTCTGTAAATGCAATTTACAATTTCATTTAAGAACATTTAGGTGTATGTGTTTAAATAATTTTGATCACAATAAAATAATCATATTGTATCTAGTATCTCTCTTTTCCCATCACATATAAATCACTATTTCTATTTTTTTTTTTAAATTGTTTGACCAATTTATAATGCCCCTGACTTAACCGCTCGGCCAATCAACTCGCCGAATACTAATATTATAAAATAGACCTATTCATGAAGTCGATTATTGTACATACCTGAGCACCGTGTCTTCCTGCTCTTCCCTTTTTACCATCCGACCCTAGTTTGCCCTATCAACATATTTGCAATCAAAATATAAATTGTAGATGAGTGTTTCAATGACATTGTTTCTTTTACTATGAAATAAATATTAAGCGATATGGTAATTAAAAGATAGTAAAGATAAAATTTTATGCTACTACTTTATGCTGCAGAGGCATATTTATTTATTAATATATTCATTTATTTATTTATTTTATCCATTCATTCATTTATTTATTTATTTTAAATTCGACAAACAATTGTCCAAGAGGAAACCATGGGCCGAGGACCCAACACTCTTGCCACACATTTATTCATATTCTTCATCATTTTCCATACATTTATTAAACATCATTCATAATTTAAAAAGAAAAAAAAATATACATTTTAATCAAAGTCTATATTCCTAATTTTAAACAATTATAATTGAATTGTATATTATCATATCATTATATTCATAATTTCAACAATGTACGTTATAATCTAATTTTAAATTTTAAATTTCCATAGAGTTATATGTATGATTTCAATCCAGCATTTAGAGAAAATTCTCATATGCTATTCATTCATTCAACAATATTCTTTAATAAATACATACACATTCACGAGAACACGTTCATAGAATAATTATACATTTAAATCGAAAACCTTGCTTCGGAGTTCTAATTCGGCTTTAAACAATTTAAATAAATTTGGTTTAGCATTCAAATCATAATATTTAATACGGAACTTATATATACAAAATGAAGCTATGATAACAAAATAATTAAACATATTAAATTGTTTTTGACCTATATTATGGCCAGCAATTATCATTTGTAGAAGGTCAGTATGCTTTAAAGTAGGCCTAGGTATAATTTTGCATACGTCACTTCTTTCTAGAAACTTAAAAAAAGTTTTCCAAAAGGCCTTAATTTGGTAACAAGAAACAAACATGTGTTCGTAGTCATCTATTTCATGACAATATTTACATTCGCTTGTATCTACTATTTTCCACCTTTTTAAATTTAACCTACATGGTATTAGGTCGAACAGCAGCTTGTAACTGAAGCTTGCAATTCGTGTTTCCTTAAATTTGCTAATTTTATATAACCAATTTTTTTCCCATTCAAGGTTTCCTTGAAACTTTACGTTCCAAACAGTTTCAATGTTGGGTTGCTTACATTTTTTCTTCACTATCTTCGAATAATAGTATTTTGTATTGGTATTAGAATTTACTTTCTCATTTTTTTTGTATTTTTATTTTATTTTTTGAAAAGCTTAACCATTGTTTCCAATGCTTAGGTATACACTCCATAATAGTATCTAATTCCGTAAGCCAATTTATTTTGATTTAAAGTTTACTTTTAATATGACATGAAATATAATACAATATAAAATTATTATTGTTTATATTGAATCCTACTGTTGATTCTGTTGTGCAATCCACAAAACAGATATAGGGCGGATTGAATGGGTTAAAGATTCATCGAAATTGAATAACACAAACACGAGGGAGAGTGCGGACTTTTGATATCTGTTCATTAAAACATATTACATATTGCGATAGTAAATAAAAGCATGTCTCCCTTTCTGAGAATCCGTCACTGAATTAGAGCATTATTTACCTGTTTGCCTATTGCTCCTTTGCGTCCTTTCAGTCCTTTGTTACCCTGTAAACAAATGATAGTGATGAGAGTATTTGGAAGAATTTAGTGGGACGGGTTGCAGAGCCGCAGTTTTGAAATCTATCTTAATATAGTTATTTTTGAGGAATTTTAAAAATTGATAACTTACCTTGTCTCCTCGCGATCCAGCTTGACCATGGTGACCCGTGTTGCCCTTATGACCCTTTAAAAATTATTTAACAAAAATCAAAATGGAAAATATATACTATGTTTTATTATTTACAAAAAAAAGTTATATTTCTTTCTAATGGTATTTTTATTTTTTAAACAGTTGACACTGCTGGTAAATATTGAGTTTGAAAGATTAATATACAGCTCGAAATGATTCACAAATTAACAGAAAGTGCCCCTTCCTTAATACTGGTCAAATATCAAAGATATTAACAGTAATAGTATCAGTGGAGGAATCTGAAATAGAGGGGACTAAGGAATGACTTTCACAGATTCAGGGTTTATATCACATCAGCCCCACCACAGTAGGGGCTGACGTGCGAACATTTATGATTATGGCACCTCTAGATGGCTGGAAATGGAACTCTCAGACTTAAAATTTGAATACAATTTTCTTCTTTTTTTTTCATTATATTTTTTTAATTTCGACATAGTTAGAGGTGTGGGGACCGAGCCAGTTTCCCCTTGAATCCGGAACTGAGTTTGGAGGTGAAGGAGCTTTTCAACATATATCGTAGTTACTGTAGTTAGGTACAATCCCCCTTGATAATAACAGTGATTGCAATATTTATAACAAGTACCCTGATCGTACAGGTTAATGCTTACATACCTTTTTTCCAGGTAAACCCATTTCACCTTTCATTCCTGTGTGTCCAACTTCGCCCTGAACAGAAGTCAATCAATACAAAATCATATACGATGATAAAATGTTATTGTCACAACGGTAATATATGCTGTACATTTTATAAGATATGGTTCTTTAAAATACACGCATTAGAAGAAAAAGATAGAAATATAATTATAATACATTACAACGTTGCACAAAAAATAAATTTAAGTTGAAAAGATAGAAAATGCGAATTTTGTGAGTAAAAGTGAAAATATCGTTTACATGAATGTATGATGATGATGATCAAACACATTAAAGGGGTGGCGATAATGTTATTAACATTTTAGCCGATCGATCGACAATCGACTGTCAATTGATGATGATGATGATGATGATCATGGTGATAATGATGATGATGATGATGATAAGGACGATGGTGGTCAAGATATTGCTGAGGAGTCTGACTTAGGCTCACTGACGTAGAACATGCGATGCTTTTGAAAAGGGTTGTGAGTTCAAAAACTCAAGTAATCTATTGTTATCTATATTCAATATAAACACGTTTCTTACCCGCTGTCCGTGAAATCCTGTATCACCTCTGATTCCCTTAATTCCCTCTTCACCACGTATTCCACGATCTCCTTTCAAACCACGTGATCCTAATTGACCAATCGGACCCTGAAAAAATATCATAATGATTCATTCCATGTAACAAGTCTTAAGTCATACAAACTATCGTATGAATGCAGCATTTTATCTTATTTTATTCTTTTGTTTACATTATGAAAAGTGGTGTATGTACGGGTGCGGGAAGAGGGTCCAAAAAATCGCTCCCTAGTCTCACCCTCCCCTTCCTTTGAAAATGTCCGCAGCAAAAAAATCAAGCTCAAGTAGTTCAAAATCACCTCAATTCACCTTCATTTTCGACCTAGCCCGCCCTCATTTAAGAACCTTCTAAACCCCCCCCCCCCCACTCGTGTATATTGGAAAGCGATAATATTAACTTCCTGTCACATCTAAAACTCCAATTAACATATATAAAATACAGAAGCAAAATCAGAGATTCGACTTACCCTATCTCCTTGGTTACCCGGCTCCCCTTTCTCCCCTTCCCTGCCACTGCTACCCTGACAATAACCATGAAATGTTAAAAACATACGTTAATATAATTAACACATAATTAATTTAATTTAAAATAGATGTATCAAATATTCCCTATGTATAAAAAGACGTTATGAAATCAATTATGTGGCAGATAATATCGTATTAAAAATATAATATTTATAAAAAATATGGTTAAGACCAAAATGAGGATAATCTTAGTTTTGACAGGATTTAGCTTAGGACCATTGAATAAGAATAATCTTTATCGCAACTAACAGCTCAATTCACATTATCTATTTAAGCCTGTGTTGTGTTTTTGCTGTAGTCAATACAGGATTTAAATTTCATATAAACAATAAAATAAGACTCGGCTTTTATAAACAATAACTTGTAACCTGTTACGAGAAAATAATGTAATTGAGAGGTAAAAATTATTGTTTTTAATTAAAACCTGAAAATAAATATGTGAAAAGCAGTTTCACCTTATAACCTTTGAACCCGGGTATACCGACCTCGCCTTGTTCTCCCTAGACATAAAAACGAAATGAGAATAATAATAATGATTCATTGTTTGCATGTGTTGCTTATCGATGATGAAACAGAGCAGACGATAATATTAAATTTGTGATGGCATACGGAAGATGTAATACCTTATTCATACCCAAGTCACATCCGGAAACATAAAGGTTTCAAGCTTAAACTTCATGTCATCGATTTCTGATTGAATCTTCAACAATAAGGGGTGCTGGTTCATACAAAAAAGTAGAACTCCATTTTAGAATTTTGACTTACAGGTCCATGCCTACTTACCATTTGACCTTTGGGTCCTTCGGGTCCCGGTAGGCCCTGTAGTCCTACTTCCCCCTATATAAACAATGAATATTAATTACAGTACAACAATATACATTTATCATTTATTTATTGTACATAATTAGAGTAATACTATCAGTTTACTTTTTATAATGTTTTTTGAAAGTATTTCATGGCATAGAGCGGTTTCCTCTGACCAGTGGATAGTGTTCATGACAACTGGTAGGGTGCTTTCTAATCATTTTAATTTGTCCTAAAAGTTGAATACTATGAATTATAAAAATATCTTAAACCTTACTCAAGTTTAATAGTTAAAATTCATCAAACGAATAATTAAATAAAACAAAACAGGCTTTAGATATATCCTTACCTGTTTTCCCCTTTCGCCATCCCTCCCAGGCTTTCCCGGAAGGCCCTGCAATTGAAACAAAAGAATTTGTGTTGAAAAAATTCGGAAAACGATCTAAATTAAAAGATACAAAACCGTTTCTAGTGATTTACAAACGTTTTACTTCAAAAATCCTTCAATTTTCTGCAAAAATTAGGAATGTAGACTATAGAAATATTCCTTTAAATAATTTTTTCCAGTTATAGCTATAATTTGGAAGCTAATGACGTATTGAAATAATATACAAATTAAGCAATTGCATTTTATTATTGTTTTAAGTTTTTGGAAAGTATACTTTTTGTGACAGGAGCGTGTGGCGCAGAGTGTAAGGTGTTGGACTGATCGTGAAATCAGGAGTTCGAGACCAACGCTCGTCGCAATGCTTGTGTCCTTGAGCAAGACACTTTATTTACGTCTGCCTCTCTCCACCCATGAGTATAAATGGGTGCCTGGTAGGATAGTATGGCATTGAATGAATTGGTCGTGCGCGAAAAAGCAGCAATGACCAGGGATATCCCCAGGGAGCAGAGGAAGTCGTACAATGTGCGGGTCTGCCAACTCTGTATCCAGTCACCAGGGAAATAATGATGCCAGCGCCTTGTATAATCGCTTGTAAAAAGATATTTCGAAGAATATCATCCATCATCATTCCTAATTATTGGCAAATCTAAATAAAAAAATGTGTAGTCTTACTGGCTTTCCATCAACTCCGACTTCACCAGTTGGACCAGGCACACCTATGTGACCCTTATAAAAGATAATGAAAACAAATGTTATTAAAAACGACATAATCAATAACATTTATCTCCCACCACCTGATATTCAGTTAAATAACATTCTGTGTGGATGGAGACGCATTTGTATTGTTTAACGCGAACAACTGGTACCTTCCTGTACTGCAAGCGACGCGTTGCTAATTCATGGTATTCTCACCATGAATAGTCTTTTATACGAGAAAGTGTTGCACTTACTTCAGGTCCGATTCTTCCTCGGGGTCCTTGGGGTCCAGGAACACCCTACGGAATAGATGCAATTCAGTTATTTGGTCAACATAAACAAACTGATAACCGGCAGTATTTATATTTCCATATAAATGTAAATGAATTCAGGAAAGTAACCGATAATTATGATAAACATACGTTCATACATAAAATAATGATAATGCTAATATTATATAGTTATACCATTATTTTCTTTTATCATTTTGGAGGCATTTTAAAGCCTGCTGACATTGTTGTTGTCTTATAGTTGATGTCATGCGGTTTTAAATTTTTATAAATGAAAATGAAAAAAAAATCAGGCAAATTATGAAGGTTGTTTGGTATTTACGGTTTCACCGATTTGTCCCTGAAATCCACGAGCTCCTGGAAAACCGCTTCTTCCCTAAAAAACGAAATATATATAAAGTTAAATACGCTGCTATAACATAAAATACACGTTTAAACAACTACAAACATGTAGCCTACTCAGATGAAATCTGCAGGAGACCCTCGAATAAGAAACATCGTGCTGCTCATTTTAAAGTTAGTTATCAGCTTCAAATAAGGCACAGATCTAAACAACTTAGTTTTAGTTAATATTCACAGATTTTTACAACACTTATAAGGCACATGATACAAGTCTCATGCGCCAATTTAAAGGGAGTGCTCAGGGGAAAAAATCAGACTGACTCGTGGTTTAAATTTCAAACAAAATGTATACAAATTAATCAATTTTAATATGCTATTGAATTTTATTTTTTCGTCTATGTCAGGCCTAAAGCTGGCTTGCCCATAAATAATTTTTTCTTTGTCAAACAACAATCTAATGGTGTTAATGCAATATTTTATATCAAATTAGTTTGGAGGATAGCCCATTCCTATTGGGATGATAGGTTATTATTCAAGGACTTTGTAATGATTACCTCAATCCCAGCCGGCCCTTGCTGTCCCGTCTTCCCACTCGGTCCCTGTTACATATAAAATAAAGAATGTCATGATAAAGATAAATAAGCAAGAGGAAACAGGAAATAAACTATTGAACATAAAAAAAACACAACTGTTACAATACAATTGTCACATTAAGCCGAGTTGGCCTACACACTACACACGAAGGTCGTCAGCCGACGAGATTCCAGCGGGGATTCCAGTTGGAACGCACCATGACGAGGCGCGAAAAAGATCGTTTTAATGACGATCCGGTCAGACTGTCACCGACTAAAAGTGAGTAGACGGCGTTGTGTCGTCATGCTTTCACGGACATGGTTTCGTAGGCCGACGGTCCTCCGACCATCGCGATGCGTCACTTCGTTCAACGAAGGTTCGGTCTGAATAAATTATTCCTCACAGTAATTTATAGAAACACCATACATATTTCATAACTAAATAGGTATGTATCTGAATGCAAACTGACATTAACAAAAAGCAAGAGAATGGACGGCACAAGACGCCGTTCCGTCCACATAAGACCAATCCCCTTCTCTATGCTAATACATCACAAAAAGAGCAATAACTACACATTGAATAAGCAATAGATTACCCTTCTTCCATGATATCCCTTATCTCCTTTTATTCCTGTTTCTCCGATGATTCCCTATAAATGAATAGACAGAGTTAGTTATATTTAGTGTTGGTATGACTACAATAGATCAACACAAATTGAGGACTGATAAAAATGAGCATTGAATGGCTAGCACCGCAGTCTCCAAAGAAATCATACGCCCATTTATCGTACGTACCGTATTCACTGTAATCATTATGTTCACATTAACTATACCAAAGCTTTCAGAAAGTATCGAAATTGGAGGTTATTTTCATGCTGAGGCCTAGATAATATGTTTTTAATGTTTGTGTATTACCTTTATTCCTTTGATCCCTTTTGAACCGGGTACCCCACGCTCACCCTGTTGAAAAAAAAACAAAAACAAAAAAAAACATAATAAGCGTGTTATTTAAATTCATTAAAAAAATAAAACCCTAACATGTGTCAAAAGTACATCATAATATATCAGTACAACTGCAGTCGGTAGAGTGAATTTCTCGTCGTTCTATAGGATCTAACTTCAAAATTGAAATCTCTACCAGTACTCCATGAATGTTTATCAGATTCTATTTATTTATTTGGATTTATAAAGCGCTTTTCCCAGAGACCAAAACGCAGTACAAAAATAGATATAATGCGTTTACAGTATTATAGGATGCAAAGCACATGAATAATAAGAAATTTACGCATTCAAAAGATCTACACCAATATAATAAAAAATAAAATAAAATAAAAGTTTAATTGAATACGAATAGGATTACATCGATGTAAGCCAGCACAAACTGCTGGCAGACTGAGTTAGTATAAGTTAAGTTGTACTACCTTCGTTCTAATACATTTACAATACACGAATATTACTTGCATACTAGGTCTATGTTGTTGATGTATCCACTCACAAGATTTCAAAGGAACTCTTCAATGCGTGCTTCATGTCTTCAAACATTTTTTTTATTTCACTTCTTTTGACATTAATTAAGGCCACTGACAGACGGTCAACAGAAACAAATGAATTTAATGCTTTCTAACTACTCCATCTTAGGTCTATGTGAACTATTCCGAGGTTGTTAGTTCTTGTGTTGATTGATAGAAAGCATATCCCTCTCATGCTTTCATCCAAAAACAGACAAACGTCAACTTCTATAAATTTAACAACCTGACGAATTTATTTAACAATTATTATTAAATTAGTTTTTAAAGATTATGAAAATGATCACCTTATGCACCTGTCTCTTATACACATCTAAACACACTAGGAACTGTCTCTTATACACATCTAGATGTGTATAAGAGACAGGTGCTATTGTGTGTGTGCTGAACCGTGGAGATCTCTAGGTCCCCGGTTCAATTCCCATCGCTGCCTCTCCTTCTGTTTAAGCTGGAGGGCTGAAATGCATGTTACAATAGCGCACTGTCTTTCGGATGAGACGTTTAAGCCATTGGTCCCGTGTACATTAAGCAGTTTTCGCCGCACGACGTTAACCTTAACGTTAACGGATGACGTCATAATGTATTCATCTTCCGTTGCGGAGTACGTTAATTTCAAGATTTTACGTGCTCGACGTACGTTAGTTACGGGTTTGCGCATCCATATTTCGATTTGTTTACAAAAAGGGGCGGAGCTATCGCGCTGCATGTTGGGTACTAACGTTAAAGTTAAGGTTAGCGTCGTGCGGCGAAAACTACCTATCAATGGCCCATGTGCATGTTAAACAACGCAGTACACTCTTCGGAAAAGAGTAGGGGATTTGTCTCCCGGTGTACTGCCCAATCACCACCAGAATGACTCCACTGGAAATAAGTAATCTTCTAGACTTTCGTGGGCTATCCTTGGTGTTTACACCGAATAAATCCAATCCAATCCAATTTGAATGACTTTTTAGGGGTTCCAATATTTTTTTTACAAAAGGTATATACAGTAGTCCTATATCTAAGTGTAATTTCTTGGCCTTTAAGTAATAATAAGAAGATTTAGAAAGCGCACATATACACTACAGTACCGTAGTTCTAAAGAAATTAATATTAAAAGAATTTGATTAAGATTAATTAAATGAGCTTATTACTTATTAAAATCTATGTCTAATTAATAAATTTATTGAAATTATTCATCGGATCTGTTTTAGGTTTCAATAATTATAACAAAAATGAATTGAGATCAGTGAACAGATTGCATATGACTGGAAACCCTGAGGACACACGTGTAAAATTCTAAAATGAGAATTGACCAAATGGCTTCATTCGTCTCCTAGGAATTACTATGTAATCCAATTTAGAGAAGTGACAATCTGGTAGATTATGAGCGAAATTGATATTTGTTGGATCTGCGTATTTTTTTTCTCTGTATCTGGAAATTCAATCACCCAATGATATTGAGGATGAAAAACAACTCTAATTAATCTGGCACGCAATGAGAAAATGAGATTGTTTTTCCTAGTAGGCCTATAGTACTTAATTGAATAAGCTAATGTAGAACTATTCCGCGGTGTGCATACCTACTGAGGCCTTTGTGGAGACGTTAGCATCCCGAAATGAAGGCGTAGCATTTCATGTTTGCGTCAAATGCTCTAGTTGAGAACCAACATTATAATATTACTTTTAAAAAGATCTAACGCCAATACCGTAAATCTTCGAATACGTGCCGGGCGCTTATAAAATATTTTGAAATTTTAGTGCGGCGCTTGTTCGTGAGCGGCGCTTATTAAATAAATATACTGGCCTGGCACTTTCCGTTCCCGTTCCTACAGGGCACCTAACGTGTTACCGTACCCATCTTACGTATTCCCGTAGTTCCGGGTATTTAGGCCCTACATAATGGTAAATATACGTTTAAAAAGATATGCTTCATTGTATTATTTATTTATTTGAACACTGTTGTAATTAAAACTCTGTTTTTCAATTACACGCAGGTAAGTATATGCTTAGCGACAAAAAATTACGCTTATTCGAGAGCGGGCTTATTCGAGAGAGGCGCTTATTCGAGGATTTACGGTAGATTATAATTTTGCTCACCTTTATGCCTTTCTGTCCTTTCTCACCCATGATCCCATTAACGCCCTGAGTTCCCTGAAATCAATGTAAATTCACTATTATCTATGAATATTTCCACATACCTTGTATATTATTAGACCATAATTCAATTCAATATGGGTAGGTTACGGTATCTTTTTATTTAAATAATTTGTACATTAAATAGTATATTGCAGAAATAAATGTGAATTACAAAACTGAGTTGTTAAATATTAAAAACAGGCAATCACAGATACATCACATCAAAACAGCAGTGATAAAAATATGGATCAAGGAATGCAAAAAATAAAATAAGGAAGAAGGAAAAGACCCAAGAAGATCACAAATCATGTGCTGGGACAGACTGAAAAATAAAATGGAACTAAAGAAAAACCAGGAACAGAGAACAAGACGAAACAAAACACAAATCGACAGAAAATCAGAGAGGCAAGCTGCATCGAATTCAGACCGAATAACCAGGACAAGTGGTCAAAGAGAATCGAGAGATATGAACATGTAATAAACTTTTAATAAATTAAGTAATTTAAGCTAATAATAATAATAATAATAATAATAATAATAATGATAATCATAATAATAATAATAATAGGCCTAATAATAATAATAATATGTCGTCTAATAATAATAATAATAAAAATAATAACTATAATAGGTCTAAATATGTACGGTAAATTCTAATATCCAACGCTAATGCCTTACCTGTTCACCTCTTGGCCCGCGAACACCTGGAGGTCCAGGTATACCAATTATTCCCTAAAAGTAAAAACATTACTGGAATAAACCTTAAATGAGTTACCGTAATCAATTAAAATCTGTCTCTTATACACATCTAGATGTGTATAAGAGACAGCAAAAATGGAGAGAGAGGCTAGCACCACTGACAGGCGGAAGCCTACCTGGGAGCTGAAGTAAGAAGTAAAAAAAAAAATAATGTTTTTAATATTCATTTTGACCACAGAACATAACATAAGGTAATGTATTAGATGGATCATCTTTAATAATTGAAATTCAAAAAGTAATTAATTGATTTTAGAAGGTACCGGTACTAGAAGTAGGCCTACCCTTAATAAATACATTATGAGAACTAAATTAAACATTGAATCATTATGCCAGTTCAACACAACTTATTTGAAAAATTATATATACTTTAATAGCGGAGGAAAAGCTTGTCTTAACTTATTATGTTTTAAGTTAGGCATATTAGGCTACTGTAAAGTAGAACATTATGGTAAGGATATTTGTTTCGCCATGGTATATGTTGAACAAAAACTATCAGTCTTATCAATCACATGAACCTAGACAGATAAATTAAGCTATTTTTTGTTTAAAGACGTTCGTCAATGAAACGAAATACAGCTTGTGTTCATGACAGTTATCGCGTAGATGCGCAATGATATTCGGCCACGCGTCGCCGACATTGACAAGGTTCGATGCGATACCCACGATAAACAACACACTCTTGTGACTCACGACTGTTTTTATTTGATCCTCGGAGGAAATTTATGAATTTCAATATCCGATAACTCAAGGTTGAGTTTTTTCATCTTCATATTCTGTCAAATTAATATTTTTAATCTAAAATGTAGGCGAATATTGACAACAAAGCAAATGATAGGCCTGCAAATTGGCGAAACACTATTGGTCCTCCAAGCTTGCAGGAAACCTAACCCAACCAAAGATAATCAAATTAAAATACAACATTAAATATTGAGGTAGGCAACTTGTGTGCCGCGCCTATGCATTGCTTTCCTCTATGCTTCCCTTTTGTCTTTAGGATAAAATTAAAGTAGACTAACGCCGTTTTACCCAGTTCCGGCTACAGAACCAGAAACTTGATGTGATTGGCCCTAAGAACCTCGTAAAGAAGAATATTATTTTCAGTAAAATTGAGAATGTCTCGCGGATATTCATCGGGAGTGGAGGCAATGTATTTAGAATCTTAGAAAACCATTATGAACTCACCTTCAACCCTTGCGGCGCAAAGAATCCCTTCAGTCCCGGATGGCCTCGTAACCCCTATGAGAGAATTTAAAAATGTCAAATACGTTTAAGCCTTTATTAACTGTCTACTTAATAATCAACTTAATAAGTATAGATATCGTTTGCACAGTTTATTTGTTCAGGAAATTAATATAATTTAAATCACTAACAAAATTGATCCATTATTAAAGATTTTAGTTCCAGCGTTTTACCCTTTTACCTAATAAAGAAATCTAAGACTTATCTACGTTATACTACTAATGCTGAACCAGATTAATATTTTTTTCCCAAAAGCATGCTCTAAATTTGACGATAACAAATTTACAATTATAATAAATTATAATTAGTCAATAATTATAAATATACAGTCATTATAATTATAAAGTAATTATAATTATACAGTAATTATAATTATACAGTAATTATAATGTTATAATAATAATAATAACTTACATATTTTAAATTGTAACACAATGTACGGATAGGCCTATGTACCATATTCAATAATTGACAATTAAATTCATAATTAAGAATGATTAATCGTTCTGTGTGCATAAAACATTCTTAAATATTACATCGCAAATTAAATTATAGGCCCTAAATGTTGCATTTTACTCGCTTAGTTTATGACTAATGTAACATATTCTAACGCATATTATTATCATTGACACGATATGATTTTGTAAAGTATGCCTATTCATATATTGAATAACAAATTGAATCGTCTCGAATGTACATAATGTAATTTTAATATATGATATTGGTCCATGTGCCAAACTGATACCTTATAAGTGTATAACGATGACAGCAACCTTAACAAAAATGACTGGTCGTCAGATGCGGTTTTTGCTTACTATTAATAGCGCATAAGACTATGATATCGATAATCCAATTTCCATTTTATTCCTTTGGAAATTCAGGCATATGCTATGTTTTCTCCGCATTTCTATACCACTATTGCAGAGGGCACACAATGATCTATCGGTAACAGCTCTTTTTACATGTTATTTTCATTCAAAGAACAATTAAAGGAAAGTATGATACCGTACCGTATAGTGTATTTTTTTTTCTTACCTTTGGTCCGACCGGTCCCACAGGACCAGGTTTTCCCTTTCGCCCGCGTTTCCCCTAGATAAATTGAGATCAATTAAAACAAAACATGATTGAAAACACAACATAATCCTATTGGAATCTATAAACTACTGAGAGTAGGTTTAGCGTAAGTGTTTCTAATCAGTAAATAAGACATTCAAACAATTTTCTCCACTAATCGAACATATTATAATATATAGTATACCAGACCCATCAATCAAAATGATCAATACCAGTTAGACCTATAGAACAAAATAATCAAACACATATTATTTGTCAAAATTAAAAATCATTAATGTATTATTAATGCTATAAGCCTGATTATAACTGTACGGTCAATTTAGTACAATTATTAACAAATAATAATATTAACAACAACAACAATAATAATAATAATAATAATAATAATAATAATAATGATAATCATAATAATAATAATAATAGGCCTAATAATAATAATAATATGTCGTCTAATAATAATAATAATAAAAATAATAACTATAATAGGTCTAAATATGTACGGTAAATTCTAATATCCAACGCTAATGCCTTACCTGTTCACCTCTTGGCCCGCGAACACCTGGAGGTCCAGGTATACCAATTATTCCCTAAAAGTAAAAACATTACTGGAATAAACCTTAAATGAGTTACCGTAATCAATTAAAATATTATATTAGAGCGATTAATATTCAAAATTAAAGACATTGTTCTGGAATCAACCCTTTGTGTGTAAAAATGCCTTTAGGAAGACCTATATGCATAACTGGGGCTACATTGTAGGCCTAGACAAGATATGAGCATAGATGTATACATTCATGACGAAAGTAATGCACAGTGGTAAAACATGGAATCTTACTTTACAGATAATGTATAGTTACAGTTATAGAATAAGTGTATTCAACTTGAATTAAATATCAAAATTAATAACATTGTACATAAATTACCTGTGTTCCTTTGTATCCCTTTTCACCTTTTTGTCCAGGTGCGCCCATCATTCGATGGGAAGTTGACCTGGGGAAATATTCAGCCCCTGACCCTGGATCTGATTCGTCCTGAAAATTTTGGTCGTACCTAGGCGCTTGCGTCGTAGTAAATATCTGTGTTTTTAAATTTTTTAATTTTGTAACATATTCTTCCGTATGGTAGGGGTATTTTTGAACGTCTTCAACTGAACTTTTAGTGCTAGAATACTGACTTAGATCCTCAGAGTAGGCTTGCTTACTGTTTGTATTATTTTGATGATGTGACCTTGTAGATTTTGGTACATCAGTAGTATAAATAGAATTTTCATTAGATTTATTATAAAAGGTATTACTGGTAACATAACTATCGGAATTTAACAGTTTCGTATGGTTTACTGGTGGAGGCTCACCAACAGAACTTTCTGATTTGGTTTCAAGTATTCCATCAGCAATATTTGTATCGTTTTCTTGTTGATATGTTAATAAAATATTTGTATTGTCTGAAGTTGCTAATGAAGTTGCAGGTTGTTTCGTTGTTCCTACGAAAGTAGGAGTGGCACTTTTTAAAGTTGGATCAGCTGTATACAGGATGTGTGTTGATCGAGGTATGCGTGTTGTCTTTCCTGAGCTTGGTTCGATTGTCCCAGTTCCACCAAATCTTCCATCTGGAAAAAAATGATTAAGCCTAATTAATTATTGTTAATCTTTTTTTATTCATTTTGACGCATGGCAAAATTAACTAATGTCTTATTATATTTTCTAAGCTGCAATAGTTTTTACAAGACAAATATACTGTATGTGATGCTCAATAAACTAAATCATCGGGCGCAAACTGACAAAGCGCGTGTAACGCTTGTTTTCCACTAGGCGAATTTGTTCGCGCGAATCGAAAGTGCCGGTTCATACGCATATGCGCATTCACATTTCTATCGGGTTTTTGCGAAGCGAAAAAATGCGCAACCAATCAGAGCTCAGGAAGCGAACCGACGCTTTGATTCGCGCGAATAAATTCGCCTAGTGGAAAACCGGCTTCATAAATCGTTTTTATGACGATCCGGTCAGACTCCCGTCCAGAATCATCAGAAAGCATCGTGTCGTCAAACTATTAGAGAAAGCGGAGATGGATTCGGCAGTGTGTGTCCGGCTTCAGGGAGTCGAGTTTTCACTGACAGGATTTGAACCTAGGACCTTGGGATTGAAAGACCAGCATCCAAGCTACAGCTCCACCCCGATTGATTGCAAGAATTGCAGTACCCGCTGCTTACTTGGACTCGACCCTGGCCATCAGGCGCAAGTTCGGTGGTAAAGAGCTATGATGCCAGGCTAGTGATCTGGAGATCGTAGGTTCGAGTCCCACCAGAGAACAACTTGTTTTCACACGTACTGAGTATTCAGTTCATTTCCACGAGAGGTGCGGCAAAATTACACCGATATTGATAGGACTAATATTAATTATGACAATAGGCCTAAAATTTGGTTACCGTACGTCTGACTTCAATAGGTGTCTGTGGTGACACGCTGGTACGCAGCTACATTAGAAAGATAAATATGTATTTAATTATTGATGTAATAATTTTATTACTCTGTGGCAAACCAAGCAAGTCTCTTATTTTGCATCTACAGAGGAACTTACTCCTAAAGAATACCGTAGCTCTTTGATGTAGGCCTATTTATAAATTTGAATGCCCAATAGCTGCAATGCCAGTTACATAGGAAAGACAGATAGATGCCTGAAAGCCTGTTTTAATGCCTTAAAGCAAATTTATTCGCGAGAATCGAAAGCGTTGGTTCGACTGACGATTACGGTTCCCACGAATAAACAACAATGTGAGGGTTTTAAGCATATCATTGAAATCAACAATATTTTCCTAAAAAATGTTAATATTTCATCACTCAAGCAAACTTTAACATTTGATAATACCAAAATTCCGTATGGCTCTCTACATTGGTCACTAATTTTATTTATGAAGGCTTTGGCCATTTAGCATTCAAGACTGTTTTAAACACTGGTTGAGAGCATCTAAAGGAGCTTTCATTATTAATTAATTCTGAACGTTTAATATATCACATGTAGGCCTACTTATTGTAAGTATTTTCTACTTAAGTATATTTCACTGGACTATCTTATTGTTTAATATTTCAATTCATGAGACTTTTATTCAGCTAGCATTCCCAGGCTTCTCTACAATTGTTGATTATTCATTGTTAATTCATGAAAATAAGTGATCTACTTATAAAATGTAAGACACACCTCATTTTTAAATACCTCATTTTAATTGGCTAGTTTTAATATTTATTTTAATCTGATTGGTCGGTTTTTTATTTCCTTTTGTTACTACTTCTGTAAATATGCCTATTGTAAATATGATGGGTGAGATTTTCTCATTAGTATTCTTGAAAATGATCAAATAGATCGAAACGCTGAATCTCAAAATATGTCGGAGTTACTATCTCTTTTTTTAAAATTTTAAATACAATATAGGGCACTGCAATAGTAGATACAAAATCGTTTTACTATTTAAAACAGAGCTGGGCACGCCCTAACAACCAGTTATAGTCCTAATGTGGATGTTCACTGTACCTTTAAAAAACATCGTGACAAATCTAAGCCAGGCACATTAAATAAATGTACTGTTCGATGAACCAAATCATTGATGACGAGGGACGGACTTAAAGGCGGATTTCGGCACATTTCCTACACTTAATGCTTCATTTAGCTTTTATAATTCGATTGACTTTATACGAACGTGATAATTCCAACATATAGGCCTAACACTTAAAAACAGAAACATACCTTTTTTATGTTCTTATAAATTAAACATGCATACAGTTAGGTATTCATTACGGTATAATTATCCTGCAGCACTTACAATGTGCAATCTATCTAACGAACATAATCCGAGGTACAAAAGAAATGCTGCCGTGCTACAAACACCGCATAAACTGTATTTGTACATGCAATCGCCATGTTTCAATCATACCTTCATGTTTCAATTAAATATTGAATTACAACTTTGTATAGGCCTAGGCGTCTAAAATAAGTTAGGCGTGTTAGCTACTGAACATTGCAACGAGAAAAAAAATACCCTCTGAATTTGACAGCCGCATATAATACAGCTCCTAGAATAGTTACTTAGCCTAGTCTAGACTGGTTACCAATTTAAGGGTGTTCTTGATTTTTTAAGTAAAAAACGAATTGCTTCCATATACCTTGTCTCGTTAAAGTTGTTCTTATTCCATTCTTCAAGTTCTAGGTCAAGTTCCCCAAACCCCACATCCCAGATCGTCCATTTTGTTTATTCAACTTAAAAATTCATGAATCCCACCCTGTAAAAACAGCTTGGAGGATTTAAACGCAAAGCTCCACACAAAAAAAAAACTAAACATGTTTAGGTCTGGCCTAATGTGTTTAGGTTTCTGACGTATTAGCATACGTAGCATTAAATGTGCTTAGGTATTTGACATGTCAAATACCTAAGCACCTTCAATTCCACGAAGTTTTTACAGTGTAATAAACTGTAACGCAAACAGCCAGTAATGGCACATATTTGTAATATAGGGGCCTAATACAAAAAAAAAAATTACGGTACTGGTTGTATTTGCCATGCATAGGCCTAGTTAGTTTCTCTCTTCTCATAGGCCTACTCATAAATTTCCACCAGTATTTCAGTTGTTAAGTGTGTTAATAGATGTTATGAATCTAGATCTACTATCGAAATAAAGTCATTATTGCTTACCTTTTCGTTGAAGAATAGGCGCTACCAAATTAGAATTTAATCCAATGATGAGAAAAACGACGCTTAATTTCACCATATTTTCGGTCCACCTAAGAGGCATAAATACAAAAATAAGTTGTAAGCATATTTCTAGCATCTCAGCAGATCAGCACATCTCATCAATCAAAACCATGTGCATTGATCTACAATTATGAAATTCCTCCACGATCGTGTAGCAGACAAAGTGAAAAAAAAAAGTTTCTTTTAATGATTTTAACCATCATCTCGATTGTATTCCACATTAGGAAATGAATTAGGCCTAATTGTTGTTGATATTTTTTTTGTAAAAGTGAACTTTAATTCCTTTATCTCACTTTAATAGGCTACGTAATCTTTTACGGAAGTACATTTCTTTACCATTATTGTTTTGCGTATGTTCCTTGTAACTTTGGCAAACCTACATTTTTTTTTATATATTCTACCAGGTTGGCCTCTATCTAGGACAGGTACGGTACCAAAACGAATTCTGATTGGATGACATGTAATCAAAATTAAGAATTCGTTTAAGACTGGTGTAGCAATAACCACTTTTAAAAACAATTAAATGTAATGACCTTTAACCACATCGTAATCCTAGATGTGATTCAGGTGTCAAAGTATCCATCATCAATGGGTGTACCCGACATTGTCACAGTTGTGGAAAGCGTGGGTTAAACTTTCATATTTCTTGTGATAAGGAAATGATTATAACACCATGGGGTTGATAATAAATGAAGCCGATCTAATTTTTTAAAATTAATAAATGTCCCAGCGTTTGAAAATAATTATTATAGTTACATTAGAAGAAAGACATTTTTGGTTTAGGCACGAATTTGTTATACACTGGATTTGTGGTATTAAAAAAAAGTGTATACCGTTATATCAGGGTAGGCTAATGTTTGTGTTAGTAGAGTTCTACGAAAGTAGGAGAAAGAAGTGTTTAAGGCTTCAAAGTGTTATGTGGTTGTTTGGATAAAGAAAGAATAGTTTATGAAGACGTTAGAAAAGAGATCGGTGTGGCGAATAATAATTATTGGTTAGAGAAAATTGCTTTTGTTTGGCATGTAAAGAGGATAGGTTAGAGGTATGGAATGAGGAGTGTTCCTCCAGAGTTAAGATAAGAATGATACAGTACTGTAGTCAAAAGGAGTTAAACATACTGATGCACAATGCCTAATTACGTGTTTCGTGTCCGATATTTGTTGTAACCGTGTACATTTTATTCAACAGAAGACATTCAATGTTAAAGGAAGGAGGCGTGTTTGATGACGAAGGAAACCCCGTTTTGTATCAAATGTAAAAAATGTAGTTGTAAACACGATTTAGGAGATGAAGTTACAGCACGTGTTTAAATTGTCATTTACCCAAGGCTGAACATGATATTAATATTGTGGTTGAATATACAAATAATGCATGTATACCATAAATCATAGACAAAATACAGTAGTTGCAGTCGTATACTATAAATACTAATCCATGATTTTAGTTATATTATAAAATGTTCAGTAGACGTAGTGGTGGTATTATACATTCATTTTTTTTTTATAGTATTCCATGAAACGTGTATTGCAAAATTTGTCAAAAAGTGATTGAAAATTGTAAATGTGTACAGGCGACATTTCTAAAAAATAATGTTTGCTTTAATGACATTTCAGTATATCTCTAAATCATTTTACTTAAAGAGAAAGTGATCTAAGTTTCCTTATACTTGCTGTTAGTGAACATGTCATAATTCTGGGATAGAGAGGTGAAATATCCTTTGCTATATCAGAGCTGAACACTAAGAGCACAATGTGCAAAAGGGTTCAACTGAATAGATCTACGCCTGTGTCTAACAGAAGTTCAACATCTACAACACACAAAAAAAAAAATTAAAATCGGTGATAATCAACACTTGATCAGGTAAGCCCTACTAAAAAATCCTACACATATCTAGAACAAGAAATATGACCAAATATACTGTAGCAATCAAATTCAAGAAATTTTCAAAAAAAACGTTAGCATGAAGTGATTTCAATTTGACAAACGTATGTCAACTTGTCTGATTAAAAAATTGTTGTAATCAAGAAAGGCCTATAATTAGGCATAACTTTACCAAAAACTAGACGTCAACTTGGAAAACCATTTTGCCCAAATGCGGTACAATAGAAAGAATAGACTGAAAAAGAAAAAATTATCACAGATTTTGCACAAAAGTAGGAAACCAGGCTGATGTTGATGATATTTACTGAAACAACTATTATTATTATTATTATTATTATTATTATTATTATTATTATTATTATTATTATTACCGTATTTCCCTAAAACTTTCCAAAGGAGAAGTGAAACGAGTTGGTTTTTGAATTAAAGTTCTTTGTTGTCAACAATGAAAAGTACGGTACGAAAATGATAGATTCTTTCAAAATGGAGTAAATTGAGTGTCGTACATTCCGTCGTCACTACCACTCTAGGAAATTTTACCTATTGGAAGGAAATTAAGAACGCAGGAAATGGCGGAAATTTATGGCCTGTCGTTAAAAATCACCACTTGGCAAACAACATCATAATCGCGAGGAGGTGTCGCAAGTTCACTTCCACTCACCTAAAATCAGAAATAATTATATCCTCCAGCACGATCATTCTGTCTACATTATAGGTGTCAGCCTATGTTGCACAGAACCGACTACCTGATGAGAAGCATTACACGAACGTGTTAGACCACGTAATAAATCGCAACATGATATTGTGTAAAACACTTTCCCTAAGTAACGACTGTGCTTCACTCCGAGTTGGAGCCTCATGACCGATATGAACGAATTTTGTACTTTTGGGTGGTAGCGGTTATGCCGGTTTATAATTAGTTTTTTATTAATGGTCTTCCACAACTCTTTAAGAAGATGTTTACCAATTAAAAGCAATTTTAGAACGGTTTTAGTATACTCAGTTACATAATATCACATTTCTGAAACTACGAATCGTGCGCGCTCGTTACGTATACACGCGCAACTATATTTTGTGTCGAGAGTGACGTCATTTGGCCCTGTCAACTGCTTGTCGCACTGAAGTATATCCAGTACTATATTATTCATTTATTTCTACTCACGAACAAAAAATAACGACAAAAATATAGTATTTCCGGGGCCTGACATTGAAAAGCGGTAATATTATATTTAAAAAATAATAAATTAAATGCATTTAAATGGGCCTGGACAATGGTTATACACTATTTTGAACTTAAATGATTTTGTAACTCTAATTATAGGTTAATAATTGAAGGCGAATGTAATGTACAAAAATCAATAAAAGTAAGCCGTATTAATATTGCCCGATAAAACATAGGTTTACTTTAAAAATATTGGTAGTCAATAGTATAATCATATCTCATTAAGCTCATACTTAGATTCAAAGGGGAAGTAGGAAATTGAATCATCTTCACTAAAATTAGATTATGGATGTAGATTTTCACGTAACAAGTATTTAGGAGATGTATGCCTCTGTAATTATAGGGTAACAGTGATTGACGTTTATAAAATTAATTTGTTGATTTAAAAAACTTCATTATTATTTTACAGGCATACAGTATCTGTATATGATCATACCGTGAAAGACACGTCAACATCTGATATGCATTTGGAATTGCTTTAATTATATTTATTAGGCGGTTTTGTTGTTTTAAGCAGTATTTACAGTACAGCCAAGGTTTAAATTTCTCCTTCGTTACGCATCGCATTTTCCAGTCATCGAAGGAATTATGGTCATACGACAACCCTGGTTAATAACGTCCTGCCAAAAAACAAATTACCAAGATTTTACTTCACTAATTAATACCACATGTTTTACCAGATGTTTGAGAGCTAAATGTAAAGGTGAAAGCAAATTACTTTCAGCAGGTTTTGAACAGGTGGATATTGAAGGGTAGCAAATATAATACATTAGAAAGTAGGCCTAACTCTTGAATCAAACATTTATTAAAACATACAATTAATAATATGATTTGAATACTATAAGTTGAATCAGTCACATGTCTTAAATTGTTAGAAATTCAAATGACGAAAAACATTTAATGAGATAATTATATTCGCATGCCGTTATTATCGATTATTCTGTTTGTGGTAACCAGGATATCCACTGAAAAAAAATCAATTTTATAAACAGATACTGTACATGTCTAATAATATTTTGTAGATAATTTGTTATTGCATGTAGGCCTATTGAATTTTCTTTATTTTTCATCGCACGATTTTTGTATGTACTTAAATACACAAAGTAAGCAATTCAATTGAAATTTATTATTATTAACTAGCTTACATTTGTCAATAATGTAAGCAAATTATACAATAATAGTATTTAGGAAAACTATGATGGTGGTGATGATTTTAATAAGGATATCATTAATATTAACACAAACAAAAACACTAAAAATATATTTTGTTAATAATAAAATATCGTTAATACTAATAAGAAAATCGAATCTTAACATTAACAAAACAGTTCTGTAAACTTGTATTTACTTTACAGCGCATTGAAACAATCAAGTCAGTGGAATGTGAAGTGAAATAGGCCTACAGCACTTTCTTCAACCTCATCACATTTTGCAAAAATACTATAATTACATATCTTTCTACAAAATGTACTTTCGACATTTGACACCTCGCAACAAAGGGTAAGAATTATTGGCGAATGATTTATGGTGTACATTCGGGCCATGAATGTAGATCACAGGTCAATATCCAATGATTCTTGACCTCTAACATATTATAAAATTTAAGCAGACAGGCAAACGACAAATAGATATATTCAATTAGCAAAGAATTGCATACGTGGACTGGAAATGGAACCATACGTACATAATACCCAACAAAGACATTCATCAGAAGAAAATTGTCGGAATGTTGTTTGGGAAAACCCCATTGAGGTGTTAATATCTATCAAAAGAACAGAGGCATATAGGACCTTGGGTGACAAATATCAAGGGAAATAGGCCTACTGTAAGTTATTGAACTCTTAGTGAAGCTACTGTAGTTGACCATTTTGTCACGGGAACGTCACCAACAGACAAACCAATTTAATTATAAAAGCTCGTCTACAC